GCTGCAACTTGAATGTATAAAAGAGAGAAACAGAAACTTTGTAAGGGAGGTTGGGAAAGCAAGGGAAGCAAGCTTTTTCTAAAACAGGCAGAAACCAAATGGGCACCCACTGGGTAAAGTAAGGATTGAGCAGACCCTTCTAGGATAGTTCATTGACTCAACGAGCCATTGGATAAACCCAGAGAATATAGGTACAAAGAATATGGGTGCAAAGCAAGCCAGGCTAAAATGGTTGCTTGTTGTTGTTGTTGTTAATTGCGAAGTCGTGTCCGACCCATCGCGATCCCATGGACAATGTTCCTCCAGGTCTCCCTGTCCTCTACCATCTAAAATGGTTGCAGGAGGCAGTAACCAGCTATTGAAGGGCTAAGGATATATCATGCAATGCAGCAAATTGGAGTTGGAGCTCCAATTGTGTCACATGATCATGCCAGTCAGCAACAACAGTTCCAGCAGTCCTGGTTGCCATCATTAAGCAAGAACCACATGGACTTTAAGTGGGATCTCAAGTGATCATGACTTCTGATTTCCAACTGGCTTCCCCATTGACTTTGTTTGGGAGAAGTTGAGAGGGAACTTCAGAAACTATGTAAATGTGACCATGGGGATGCTGCAAGAGCCAGAACTCTGAGGGCTGGTTGTAATTACCACTTATTCAATGCTGTCATAACTTTGAACAATCTCTGAATGAATGGTTGTGATCTGAGGGCCACCTTTAATTGAACAGAATGAAGTGCTAGAGACCATCTGCTCTGAAGGGCTCAAGACAACTCAGGTTGGAAAACCATTTTCAATCAAAGCTGGAAATCATAGGCACGAGGTCTACTTACAATGGGAGGTGGGTGGGAGGGGAGAGGAAGATAATGTAATCTGTTTCTGCACTGGTAATAGGCCAAGCAAAAAGTGCAGATCTGATCTTAGCCAGAGGATAGGTTGTTCTTTACATCTAAGTGCTCTTTGTTTCTATAATACTTCTCAACAGATCAGCTTCATAATCAATAATAACACAACTTTGGACTCACACAGAATAGGAATGAAACCAACATCTTTATTTTGTTGCTTAAGTCCTGATTTTAAACCCAGCTCCAGTGCTGCAAATGAATCAACCAGAGCAAAAAAAGAAGAAGAAGAAGAAGAAGACAGTAATAAATGCCTGCTTTATAGCCAGAATGGTAACCATGTGTTTAACAAACATGCACATGTCTGGTTTAGGCGTTGCAATCCAATCCAATAACCGTTTTAAGGCTCTTGTGGAATAACACAGATTGAAACAGTCTGGGGCAAGCGCAGAGTGAAGAAAAATTCTACAGCAGCATTCAATAAAGTTGTAGAAGATATTTTGAAAGATGGATAATCATTACTGTCCTTCAAATGAAACTAGCTAACCCTTGTAGATTTGAGCATCATCCAAAAACATGCAGTTACCTACTGACTAGTTTTGAAACAAGGATAACACAAAAAGTAAAAATCCAACATGGATGTTAATATATGCTTGAAAGACATTCTTGCAGTATGACTTAATTAGTTTCTCATCAGAGGTTAATAATGTCTGATCAAACAAGATCTGTTCTTTATAAAATCCATACAGTGTGATGGTTCTGACAGATGAAACCCTTCAAAAGAACTTGTTTTTTGTTTACCTTAAAGAATCTTTTATTCAGGAAACAAAGTGTTGGCACTACATAGTTGAACCCAAAAACTAAATTTTCCTCCCCTGGATACAAAGTAACAAAGCACAATTCCCACCCCCAATAAACAGTCATAAAGCACATTCCCCAATTAGCTTGAAGCGCGCGGGCTTTCTCCCCAGTTCTCCAGCCCGCCAAAACGTTATTAGCTCAGGACCCAGTTTGTCCTTGGATTCCCACGGCAGAGTTATTATTATTATGACTAACTGAACTCTCATCCCAATCCCCCCTCCCAGCACAAACTAATTCTAAAAGCATAGAGGAAATACTGCATTTTCATCTATTGTCAAAGCAAGAACATCCAATGTTAGCAGCATTGACATCCAGTTTAACATCTTTATCATATCTAACTTGCATTAATAAGTATACCCACCATGATAGATCTACACCTTGATTTTCCATCTCTTGCTTAGATTTTAAATTCTCTTCAGAATTTAGAATATCTCTGTATGTCCATATTTTCTCAAAGTTAACTAAATTTGAATGTATAAATGCTTCCATTGTTGAAAGCCATCCTGGAATTTTCAAATATATTTTACATTTTATTTTTTCCCATGTTAATAGTAATGTGTTTCTTATAATGAAACAATAATAACATGGGCAAAGAACTTTGGATATAATATAATATTAGAAAAATGGCAAAACTTGTGGGAAAGAAATTATAAACTGACAATGTCAACTTCTTATAAAGAAAATGTATATAAAAGATTTTTGCAAAGTAATAGTGTAACCATATGGTGATTTATGCTGACCTTGTCATAAGTAACCAAAAGTGCTTTTTCTCCATTTTGCCTGGAAATGACACAATGTACAGTATGTTCAGAATACTTTTGATTATAAGCAATGGTTGCAAAACCATTGTTCATGATTTGATTTGTATAAAATAAAGTGAATGATAAATACATTTTTCCTAGAGAGGTATCAGGAATTTTTAATAATGAGAAGCTGTTCTATTTTTTAAGTGAGAGGGTGTTTTTTTCTGTATTTATTCCTAAGTATTGGACTTCTGGAGACCCCTGGTGGTTTTGCAAGTAAAACTGAAAATGACAAATTTTGTGAATACTGTATGTGCTTGTTGTCTACTCATTTGAGCCAATGCTTTATTAATTACATAGGAAGCTAATTATTTCAGAATGCAATTATTAGGCTCCAATTCTAGTATATCTACTGAATATAAGGCTTATTTGAAAGTGGGATTTATATTTAAGTAACTATACATAGGATCAGTTTACATTCAATTTACATGTAAAACAATGGAAATAATTTCTTATAATCAGGCTTGTCTCCCACAATATGGACAAGATTGTAATCATCTTCACCTGTCTCCTGGAACAATTTAAAGCTTTTTCATTTTCTTCACCCAATTATTTGTCTTCCTCTTTCTTCTTACTTTGTCAATGATGTAGCCTCTAATCTGCCCCATCAGGTATGGAACACATGTGAGATTCTGCTTGCTGATTAATAAGGGGATTTTTTTTCCACCAAATTTGCTATGTATTCAGGTTGAGATTATATGTATAAATTTATTTCATACTTCTACATTTCAGTCCTGACTCTTGAAATTAACATAGGCATAGTAAAACATCTGTCTGTATATGTGCATATAGTTTACTCTATTTACCATGCATGTAAATATTAACAATCCAATTTATGGCACAAAGCTTTAATCAATCCCCTTCAAAAACACAACACATTCAATACAGATGTTCCTTAGTCCTCAGAAGAGCTTGGTTTTTATTATTTTATTAAACAAAATCAAAGTAAGGATAGGTGTAATTTCAATCAGGGGAGTGGGTGCTGCAAATGAAACACAGCAATTCAACTGCAAACTTCTCATTTATCACTTGTTTCTCTAAAACTGACCATGTTGGTTTGAACAATTCTAATTGGTGGATGTCTTTAGCAGCCAAGCCTCACGGGGCTTTAAAGGACAAAGAGCACTTTAAATTGCCATAATTTATTTAGAATACTAGTAGGAGCCAATGCCAATTCTATAGCTGTCAAGCCCCACTATGCCCAGGCTAAAGCTATTTTTATTAAGATGGACTATAACATAACTTGTGAGTCTGGTTGTGCTGTACCTCCGTGCTGTACCTTATTCTTCTAATAATTCAGTGAATAAGGAAGGCATCTGATAATACTTTCAAGTTCTAGATTTTAAAAAGTCTTCAACTCCTTTCGCTTTAGTAATAATTCCTGCATATTTCCAACACAGTTCTGCCACTTTTACAATCAATTCACTCGTTTGTTAAATATGTTTGAGAAAAAAAAGTAAAATGTTTCACAGCCAGGAGATGAATCTGATGAGGAGTATTCCTTACTTGAAGCACTAGGAACAGCTTGAATAAAGAATATGAATTTCTACCCCTAAAGCAAGATTTGCATCCTTCTGTACAATTTTTAGGAGAACTGTTTCAGAAAAACATATCTTTTGCATGTACCGTAGCTCTGTTCTTACTTCCTCTTTTTCCATCTCATATTCATTTGTCAAATTAAATTAAAACTTTATGCTTGTTCCATAATGCATCTGTTAATCATCAAAAAGACACAAAAAACTTTTCCCCCAGATCATAAATCTCCATAAAAAGGAGACTGTTCCTTGCAAAAAATACATCTGAGGTTCTCTGTAATCAAAACCATTCTTTTGTGCAACATAAGTTAATTGGTATGACTGCAAGTCACATTTAAAGCCAGGAATTAGGACATCTTTTGTTAGTTTTTCAGAAATGCTTTAATTTTCTTTTTCTTTTCTGGTTCTTCAAGATCCACATAGTTTTCCATTAAAACAAGATATAGTCACTTTTGCTGTAAAAACTTCTGTTTGCCATTGATTTTTCAACTTGTATTATCCTAGGAAAGATAGTAAGCAGGACCTGTGTGATAAAATAGGGGACTCACTTTCACCAAAAAAATTAACCAGTTTTATTACTGATCTTAAGAAGACAAAAGACTGCAATTCAAATTTATATGGTCCTGTTATGCCCATATGGCTGTTCAATTTTTTTCTGGAAGCCTTTAGAGTTTTGTTTTCCTTGCCACTGAAATCAAAGAGGAGATTATCAATCACGTGGCGGAAAAAAGTATGGAAATTGCGTTGGATATGTTTATTACTTTGAAAACATATATGGCTTAAGTCAGCATTGTTCAAATTTGGAAACTTTAAGATGTGTGGACTTCAACTCCCAGAATCCCTCTGGGCTCCATTTAAAAAAAAAAAAAAAAACCTATAGAGACAATATAGGCAGACTACCAAAAAAAAAAAAAAGCGTATCTCTCTATATTCTGCTGTGATTTGTCAACCGCTGATAGGGGGCGGAGAAAGCCATCCGTAGCTGACGCAATCCTCATTCTTTCTTTCGCTAATTGCAGAGGAAAGGGCGGGAGCGTCCGCCCGTTCTGCTCGTGCAGATTTACAGGGACGGACCGAGGGCCTGCCTTCCTTCCCGCTCCCCCCCCCTTTAACTTCTCGCCGAGAGCAGCTGCCTGCCTTTCCACCCCCGCCGTTCCGGCAATGGCTTGTCCTGGAGCAAAAAGCATAAAGGGAACCGAAGACAAGGACGGACGTCCTTCTCTTTCTGGCGCGCGAGGGGAGCTGAGTTGTCTCGGCGGTTATGGAGGTAAGCAGAGCGGGTCAGAAGAGATCTGTGTACAGCCTGCATTGGCCACCCATTGGTGGAGCCTGCAGCCTGGGAGAGGATGGAGGCAAGATGGTGTTTTTAGGGCCGGGGAAAAGATAGAAACCGCTCTGGTATCGTTGCACTACAAATCCGAGTTGCGCGTGTTAATAAGTGCGGCGCCTCGGGATTATTAAGGAAACCCGGCTTGCAGTGTTGCAAAAATCTCGCTCGCAAGTAACCTGAGCCTCCGAAGTAAAGTTCTACCGCATTGGCATTAGGCGGTTTATGGAGCGGAGTTAGGATTGCAACGAAAAGACAGCCCCATTCCTTGAACCCCCGTGAGAACTTAAGTCGGTGCAAACCTAGAAAAAAAATTCGCCCGAGCAGATCCTGGGGTAGATAAGAAAGCGTGCCTCCATTGAGCCACCTCTCCTCTAGGCAACGAAGCGCACCGGGCTAGGCGCACGGCGAAGCCTCGGCGGGTCCCCGGCCGGATTTTGGGAGCGCGGCGACGACGACTTCCGGCACCCCTCGTGACGTTTCTCCGGAAAGGCCGCCGATTGCGAGGCACGCGACCAGGAAAAAGCACATGGTGAGTCCGAACTCAACGGGGAGACCTTTGCATCCCGCTTGATTTTAGACGCTTTTGAGTTACAGCTTCACTCTTCCTGGCAGCGTGAGTGTGACACTCTTGATAAACTCCATGCACGGAACAATGTCTTACTTACTGCATGATGTGCGAGCATGCAAAGCATCCGCATTTGTGCAGTTAATTTCGGTCCTTGCCTTTTTAGTGTTGCCCGTTCGTTTTGGTTGCTAATGAATGTGGTGTCAGAGAAGGCATAAAGCAGGTTTCCCCTATTGCAGTTTTTTCTTTACAACACTCGGGATTATTCCTTTGGAGTTTGCTGCGTATGGAACAAAACTATGTCCTAAAACCAAGGATAACTTTAAATACATCATTGTGTAAGTTGCTGCTTTTGAAAACATTTCCTAGTGCAGTTTATAAAGTATAATCTGTTCCATGCTAGGATTGCTGAGGATAAATGATTGATAAAGGTACTTGGCAACAGCTGTGATCTGCAGACCTAGCGGCAGTTAAATTGGGTGCGAATTCAGCGCAGCTGCCATTTTTTTCTGCACACACAATTGCAGCTTGACAGGCTGATATCTCCCTTTGTATTGGTTCTGTGGAGGGCAATCTGACCCGATAGGGCCACATTGCCTGAGAATTTGCCCCCACCCCTCCAGTAGCTGGATTCCACTCCAGGATCCTACCGCCTGGAGGGAAGGGACCGGTCAACAGTCTTTTATAGCATTGGGGACACTGAGTCACCACAGGTGACCTGCTATAGGGACTAACGCTATCAGCCACTGGTGCTAAAGGGATATTCCTTGGAGTCTTTCTCTCTCCATCTGGGTGCAGGGTAGTAATTGAACCATTTCTGTTCCTCTAATAGGATGTCAAATAATTCCGGCCCTCAACTGTCCCAGGGAATTCCCGACTCCCCCACCAGGAAGAAAGAGAAAGCCTCCACAATGGAGGTGGCAGAGAGGCTGAAGGCAAAGGCCAAGGCTCAGTCCACCGGAAAGTCCTCAAAAACAGCAGAAAAGGAGGCTAGCAGGCACCAGGTCCTAGAAAGGGAATTATCCAGGGCACGTCAACCGGCTCCAGGGGACGCGGATATTAACACATCTACTCCAACTGTGATGTCGCTGTGTGAACCCCAGCTAGTTCCCTCTAACCTAGCCCCAAAGGCCTGGTCCCCTCAAAGGGAGGCCGTGCAACTAGAACCCGTCAAATTTAGCCAGGGTCTAGAATCGCAGAGGGTTGCCACTCCAGGCACGTTACAATCTGGGACACAAGCTACCTTTACGCCCACCGCAGCAGGGCTCCGCCCCTCTAAGCCACAGGCAGCGTGGCCTGATCAATTTCAGGCCATGATTGCTCAGGCCTTTGCTCAGTTTATGGCCTCTTCAGTTGGTCAGCGGTCCCAACAAGTTCCAGCAGCACCTTCACGACCATCTCATCAGGCTGAGGAGCCGGCACCTTTCACAGGCCTGTTTGACCAATCTTTGTTTGGCCTGCTGCTTCTCAAGGCGTGCTCTTCAGCTAACATGCCTCAGAACAGGAGGCTCAGCCGGCTCCTTCTACATCCCAGGGCCCGAACCCACAGTATTCTGAGCCGGTGGTGACACAGAAGCATATTCCTTGCCCCCCCCCCTTCCGCAATACAGTGCAGAAGCAGTGGGCGAACCTGGGATCTCTTTCCACTCCGGGGGTCTCAGAGAGAAATCTATTTAATGTGGCACCTTCCTTCGCATCCTTGCTGGAGGTTCCCCTGATAGATGAACCACTAAACTCTCTATTTTCTAGTTCTACTATTCCAGGGGAAATGGCCAAAGCACTCAAAGCAGAAGACAAGAAATTTGAATCTGCCCTTTGCAGATCCCATCAGGCTTCAGCATGGGCGGTCAAGGCGTCTACATCCCTGGCCTTCTTTGCCCGGGTCTCCATCATGTGGCTGCGTGAGCTCCAAGACTTGGTGCCCCCTGACCAGGTTTGTGTCCATCAGACCCTGACTAAGTTAGTGGCCGCATCGCAGTACATGGCTGATGCTTCCCTCCATGCTGCAAGGTATTCCTCACGGGCCATAGCAGCAGACATCTCAGCCCGTAGGCTTCTATGGCTCAAGAACTGGCATGCGGACCTGAAGGCCAAATGGTGTCTGGCTATTCAGCCTTATAATGGGAGACATCTCTTTGGTGAAGCCCTCAACCCTTATCTCGTAGAGGGCAAGGACAAGCGTAAAACCATGATAAAAATGAGTAAGAGAGGGGATTGGCAATCAGGTAGCGGTACTTCACACCATTATTTTCGCAGGCAGTCCTCCCGTCCAGCTTCGAATTGGGACTGGCCTCAACCCCCCAGTACCTTTACCCAGAGACCAGACACAGGGCAAAGACACAGTTCCAGACCAAGCAGCCCTTTCAAAGCTCAGGAGGGCATCCCTTCAGAAGAACCAAGTGACTCCAGGGATGTTTCCCCCATAGGTGGTTGACTGTCCCTCTATGCCAATGTATGGGAAGGCACCGCCACAGACTCCTGGGTATTAAATACCATCACTCGTGGTCTAGCCCTGGAATTCTGATCCAGTCCTCCAGAACATTTTCAGTCTTGTCCTACCCCCAAGAACACGAACAAGGCGGACCTCATGTCAGAGGCCATTTCCCACTTATCACAGATAAGGGCCATAGAACCAGTGCCAGAAGATCAGAAGGGGCGGGGATTTTACTCCAATCTTTTTGTCATTCCAAAGACTTTGGGGGGCTAAAGGGCAATTTTGGATCTAAAGAGTCTACATTACTACCTAACTTATAGGAAGTTCAAGATGTAGTTGCTTCAATCAAGCCTAACCAGCATCAGAAAAGGGGACTTCCTGACATCAATAGACTTAACGGAGGCATACTTGCACATTCCTATCCTCCCTGGGCATCGCATGTTCCTCAGATTTTGCTATGCCCACCAGCATTATCAATACAGAGCCCTTCCATTTGGTCTCTCCTCGGCCCCCCGGGTTTTAACGAGGATATTGGCAGTGCTGGCCGCCCACCTGAGACAAATTCCAATCCGTGTCCAGTGCTATCTGGACGATATTCTAATACAATCTCCATCCTTCCAGCAGGCTCAATCGGACATAGCCCCCACCATCAAAATCCTTCAGACTTACGGGTTTTCTGACAATTTTCAGAAAAGCCAGACGGTTCCAGCCACCTGTTCTCCTCCATTTGGGGGCGGTCATCAACACAAATGCACAGTCTGTCTGTCACAGGACTGAAAGGACAGCATACAGGCCCTAGTTCTTTGGGTTCAGAGGGAGCAGGTGGTCTCCCTGGCGTTGTCACAACTCCTTGAGAAGATGGTGTCCTGTATAGCAATTGTACCTTGGGCACGTCTTCACGCCAGGGAACTACAGTGGATTTTGCTTCCGTTCCAGAGGCTACGCGTCAGTGCCTCCAACTGGAAGGTTCGAGTTCCGTGTCAGGTGTTGAACTCCCTTTGTTGGTGGGCATCCCCAGCAATGGCAAGGGTCACCCAGTTCAAGAAACCAGTCAGGATTACCCTGGCAATGGACACCAGTCTCTTCGGCTGGGGAGCACACCTTCAGTCAGAATTGGCTCAGGCCCGGTGGTCCCAGACAGACTTACAGAACAATATAAACTGGTTGAAGCTCAGGGCTATACATCTAGCCTTATGCCACTTCAGCAGCAGGATGGCGGGACAACGTGTCCTTGTGCTGACAGATAATTATTGCTGCAAAGGTTCATGTGAACAGACGGGGGAACCAGATCCAGACCTCTCATGGAAGAGGCCCATTGGTTGGGGACTTGGGCAGAAAACAATCTGTCTTCCATCAGAGCGGAACACATCTCCGGAGAGGCAAATCAGCAGGTGGACTCCTTGAGCAGGGCCACAGTGGATTACTCCAAGTGGTGCCTGGAACCCGACTTGTTCAGGGAGATCGTGGACAGGTTTGATAACCCGGTGTTAGACCTCTTTGCCTCCAACCAACTCCAAAGGTTTTTTTCCAGGTTCTCATCCCGGGGAGCAGAAGGGACGGATGCCCTCCACAGTCCTTGGCCCAGGAAGCTGTTGTACGCCTTTCATCCCCTCCCCCTGATCTTGGCAACAGTCCGCAAGATTCTGCACGAATGGGCGGAGGTCATCCTGATTGCTTCACATTGGCCGAGGTGTCCGTGTTTCGCCGACCTGGTGGAGCTTTCCATCTCTCACCTGTGGATTCCTACAGATTGTATCGTCCTCAGCCAGGGAGTTCTTCAGCATCCAGATCCCCAGTGGCTCCAACTAACCTGGCATTTGAACGGCGGGCCTTGACCCGAAACTCATATTCGTTGAGGATGATAGCAATGATTCCGCAATCCAGGCGCCCCTCCATGAATAGGATTTATGATGCCACATGGAGGAGTTTCTGTGCCTGGTGTTCAGGTCACAGAGTGGAACTTTCAGACATCACTATTCCGGTTGTTCTAGAATTCCTGATGGATGGGTTGGATAAGGGGTTACCCGCAGACAAGTTTCAGCCCTTTCCACGATGATCGTGTGTGACAATTCCGCCCCCTTGGCGCAACACCCTACGGTGCGTTCCTAAAAGGGACAACCAACACCAAGCCTCCGGCGGTCCGCCATTATCCTTGGGACCTACCCCGTGTTTTGCAGGTCCTCGCCACCCTTTGAGCCCATTACCACGCGCTCCCTGAAACTATTGTCTATGAAGGTGGCTTTCCTTGTAGCAGTCACGTCGGCCAGGTGAATTTCAGAATTGGCCGCCCTCTCCATCAGAGAGGACCTGTGTGTTTTCCATGCAAATAGGGTGACTCTGCGCCTGGATCCTTCCTTTGTTCCCAGAAGGTGGTGCTTCCTAGCTTCTGTCCTAATCCAACTCACGAACTAGAAAAACAATGGCATACTCTGGACGTTCGCAGGACCCTGTGGCGTTACATCAAACCTCTGCCTTCCGTTAATCCAAGGTACTGTTCATTACCTTTCAACCCTCGTCCATGGGTCAGAAGGTTTCCTCCTTGACTGTAGGCAACTGGATCCAGGATTGCATTGCTCAAGCTTATTGGTCCCAATCATTGACCATCCCCAGTTGCATCACTGCCCATTCCACCCGCAGTGCAGCTACATTGGCAGCTTGGGATATCCAGGCACCTATTGGGGAGATCTGCAGGGCAGCAACATGGTCCTCACCTTCCCCGTTTGTCAAGCATTATAAGATTGACAAATTTGCCTCCTTGGATGCTTCGGACAGAGGGTGTTACAGCAAGTGGTATCTACCAGTGGAACTCAGGCCCAAACTGCTTCCCTCCCCCCTTAGGGACAACAGGGCTTTGGTATGTCCCACTAGTGGATTTTCCATCCAATCTTGCTGGAGAAGGGGTGTTTGTTGTCTTACCTGAACGCCTTTTCTCAGCATGATGGAGAATCCACACCCTCCCCTTTTTAGTATCTGTTTGGTCCTGTGTACAGGATAGGATGAGTACGCGTCAGACTAACGTCTGCGCCTCGCCTTCGTCACAAACGGGTGCTCTTGCACAGCAGAGGCATAGCAACTTTTTAGACTTAGTCTTATTGCAGCAGGAAGATTAAGATAACCCACTAGTGGATTCTCCATCATCATGCTGAGAAAAGGCGTTCAGGTAAGACAACGTCCCTCCTCTCCTTTACACTCGGGTAGTAACTAGAATGTAACAATACAAGTACTGTAATGACCTTGTAAAGATTCAATTTTTTAGTATGTTTTTCAGACGTGAACAAGAAAAAGCTGCCATTTTGAATGAAAACAATGCTTAGAATGCAGGTATGGATCCTACAAAAACTATTTCTTATCAGTTAATAGATTAAAAATTTAGAATTTTAGGATGTAAAATTTTGCCTTTGTGTTGCCCATTCACACTGGCTTTAGTGAATGTGGTGTCAGAAAAGGCATACATCAACTCTAGTTGTAATGTGTTCATGAATGTATTATTCATTTTTCTCTGCATTTCAGCTAGAACACACTCCTTTGAAGAATATTACGCTTCTTTGGCATCTGCAGGAATAACTAGATATTTAAAATTTGACATTAGTTCATCTATACATATGATCTTTATTTTTTGTCTCATCAGAATATATCTGAAATGTCTAGTTTGTTCCTATGGTTTTTATTTATATATTGGCATGCAATTAATATCATTACTGTTTTTTTGTTTTGTTTTTCAAAAAATACCTAATGTTTGGAAATTATTTTTACATTTGCAGCTTGTTTTTTTATACCCTTATAACATGTTCTTTCTTAACATTATACAGTTAAGCTGCCCGGTGGATTCCTTGACCTTTCCATCTTCTAAATTTATACCTTTCGGTGCTATTTGAGTTGGTGATATTAAAAAGTACATCAGGATACAGTTTTGCTGCCTTTCAGGTATTCTGCCCCCTTTTTTTTACTTTAATATAGTGTTTCTCCTATATTGCTGGCTCTCTACCTATAGTACACCAGTTGTAGTTCCTTGACAATCTGCAAACATACCACTGATTTGAGTGCCATACAACGGCATAATTTTGCTGCATTTTTCAATTTTTGGATGGATTACCAGTTGGAATAGGAATGGTTTGGTTTGGGGAGGCTTTCTACTCCTGTTGCTACCTTACCTTCCCCTTAAACCATTTCCAGGAATGGCACAACATCATGAGCTGACAGGACTCCATAATGATCCAGATCTAAAGAAAATGTTATTTAGAGTATGCATAAGTATGCCTGTCACTCATCTTAAACTGAACTTATTTTTCTCCTGAAATTGCTCAACAGGGAAAGAAAGACATGTTGGAATGTTTAAAGAAGTGCTGAAAATTGTGAAGTGATTGTTCCTGTTTGCTCCAAACGTTTGCTTTTTGTTCCTGTCTGCTTTTTCCCATTCAAAGAGGAAATTTTGTATAGGGCTTTTGGAAGCTTAACCTGCTTTCCAATCAACTAGGTTTAGCTTTGCAAATTCTCTCTCAGTTTCTTGGTTTTAACTGTTTCTGTCTGTCTACCCATTTCCTTTCCTCTATTCTCATTTTGGCCTTCCACTGCAAATAAAATTTAGCATGCCTCTTACTATTACAAGGTTATATTTCTTTTCTAAACATTCACACTTTTTCTCCCTCCCCATACTTCAGACAATATCTTAAATTGGACATTACTGAGTTACCGTAAATGCCGGCATATAAGACGACTTCCGCGAGCGCTGAAATCTGCGCCAAAGACGGGGGTCGTCTTATACGCCGAGTCGTCTTATACGCCGGAAATACTGGTAGTCTCTGGCGTATAAGACGACATTCTAGGAATGCGGCCCGGCTATAAAGACGGGTCGTCTTATACGCCGGGTCGCCTTGTACACCGGCATTTACGGTAAATGTGTATTTTTTTCCTGTTCCTTGTAGTTTGTAGAATGACTGATCCAGAAAATAAAAAGAGAGAAGATGGGCTTTTTGCAAAAAAACTGGCAAAAGAACCATTGTTCCGAGGCAGTTTCACAGCATCTCTGTAAATTTATTTCCCAAGAGGAGGGAAAAAAAACTTGAAAATGGCTTCCGGTTGAAAGAGGCATTTTTGCTTGTTGCTATTTTCCAAACATAAAGGAAACGCTGCAGTTTGAACATCACACCATTTCTGAGGCATAACTGAGACAATCTTGGACATCAGCCTGAGTTTCACTTCAGTTTGAGGAATCCAAAGATCTGACAGATTTCCCAAGTGGTAGTCAACTTGAAGAGGAGAGCTATTCAAATTCCTATATTTTTGAAACACAAGAAGTGAAGATACAATGCTCTGAAAACAAATTTCCTTTTTCACAATTTGACATCAATACTTGAGGGGGCACCAGCTCTGGTGGACAACACTAAAGAGTTTATTGCTCTCTGCAACATAGAATTAAACATTTTTCATCTTTATTTTGTATCATGAAAAAAGTTGTTCTGTGCTTAGGTTGTACAATTTTTTTTTCCTAGATCTTGCTGCAAGAATATGAATTGTACTCGGACCACCTCCTTGCAACACAGGCTTTTTATTGCACTACTGGAGGATGTTAGCACTGAAGTTGAGAACACCAGTTACATTTCACAAATATCAGGTGTTTGAATAGTACTTGGCTAATAAAGGAAAGATATTGGCTGTATTTTGAAATCTGATGAAAAAGATATACAGAGTTTCAGCATTGAGCAATTTTGGCTAGTGGACTTAGCTTCTGTAATTTAATGTAAAACATTTCTATGAATATGGCCACAGGTTGTGGTCCTGTTTATAAAACCACATACTTTTGATTGCATTAATGATTCTGAAGTAAGCTATTTTGTTTTATCTGTTAACGTATTGGATTTTGGTCAGTAATAATAATAAATAATAAACCCTTTATTATCAAAGTATAACATGTATACAGTGAAATTGGGTGAGCCTCCCTCTATGCCCCCCCCTCACCACAAACTTGCGGTGACTACAAACCCCCCAACTTATTTCACCCTGTGAACTAATTGCACATCACGCCGGCCTCACGAGTCTGTCATGCATAAAGTTATAAAGTTATGTCCCATTCAGAAGCCTGACAGCTCATGGATAAAAGGTGTTCTTCAACCTGTTAGTACAGCTGGCTATGTTTCTGTATCTCCTACCCAATAGTAGGAGAGTAAAAAGGTACCAACCAGGGTGTGAGTCATCCGAGAATTTTCCTCACTCTGCCTAGGCAACGGGCCCTGGCGATGTCATCTGGTGGAGTCAGAACAGCCCACAATGCCTTGTGCCGTGCTCACCACTCTCTGCAATACCTTCCTGTTCACGGCTGTCAGGCCAGCATACCAAACCACAATACAATATGTGAGAATGCTTTCAATAGTAGACCGGTAGGTCATGAGTCGTTCTACCCTGTTCTTCCACAAAACCCTGAGGAAGTGGAGTCTCTGTTGGCCTTTCTTGGTTTTAACTGTTTCTGTCTGTATTAGTTTTCCAGGTAAGATCTTCACAGAGGTAGACTCCCAGGAATTTGAAGGAGGAAACTCGCACAGTAACTATAATAAGCTAATTTAATACTTATAGCTATTTAATAACAGTTCAGAGTTATTGCAAATTGGGTGTTTGGCAACCAGCTTGCATTTATGACTCCATGACCTGCAGTCATGTGATCACAATTTGTAATCTTGCCAGTTTCTAGGAAGCTGGATTCACTTAATGATTGCTGTAAAAATTATAAAATCATGTCTGGCTCAGTTTATGACCTCAGTATTTTACAACAAATTCTGGTTCCAATTGTAAGTCGAGCACTATCTGTATCTACTGGAGAATCGTCACTCTGCAACAAATAGAGCTGGAGATCATAGTTCTTAAAATGGATCGATTGTGAAAGCAAATTCAAATCATGATTTCTGGATTCTAGTTAAATCACAAACATTTCCTTTGTTAGGAAATGCTACTGCAAATATATTTTATTTTTGATCGTTGTATTTGCATGAATCACTTGGCATTAAAATTTATATAGTCAGAAAATAGAAAACATTAACTGAGGAGCATCTGGGTGACTGCAAGCTGCTATCTCATATATTCCTAATTGCACTGAGCATGCAGATAACCCGCACTGTCGATCTTCACATTAGTCACCTGGGACTATGTATTTGCAGAACTGCACACCTGTTGTACGTAGAGAAATAATAAATTGATAGAGGTACAGATTTGGATAGTTTGCCCAAATAAAAACAAGTACATGTCACATCTTTTAGTCTGTATACAGAATGAAATGCTCTCTAATGAGATGCAATTATTCTGGGCAGAACTGGCTCAAGGGAAAAGCAAGTGGCCGAGAAAAGATAGGTTTCCTTGATGTGTGCAGGTATAGGTAGCAGTTCAGGGCAGAAGTGGCTTGGAAAGGTGAATGTGGATATGCTATTCTGGGACCTTGTTCCTTATTGCTGAGACAATTGCAGTAAGGAATAAATATTGGCCAATGTGTGGCAGTGCATTGAGGGAATAAAACGACAATGGAAGATGGATGGGCAAACTGGCATGCACACCATGTGAAGAAGAGTTGGAACAGCCTTATTCAACTTGTTTTCTAACACTCCAAAATTTTATTTATTTATTATAGCCACTAGTGATCTAGGTAGTTATGGCCTTACAAGATTATTGCATAGAGTTGAGCTTCAAGCATTGCAGGCTTTTGTATCGCTGAAGGAAGCAGGCAGCAGTGGCTTCTGCAGCAGTACCAACTATCAGAATGAACTGATCCAGTGAAACTCTTATTTAAATATCTGGTAGGGTATATGCAGGGAGAAATGTCAGGCCCTTCAGAAGCAGAGCACCTTTTCAGATTGGGTCCCCTTGACCATATAATTTGCAGTCAACTGAATAAAAAGGAAGTACAAAATAAGGCAACATATAAAGCAAGACAATACCATTGTTAGTAAAACACTTACGTAAAAGCTGCAGCAACCATTATAATCTATTGGGCAGGTGTCCTGAATCCATCCCTTCTATCCTAATTTGCTCTTAAGATGGTAATGGCGCAGTAGTGATGCAGTGGTTAAAATGCAGTATTGCAGGCTAACTGCCAACTGCCAGCAGTTGGATCCTGACTGGCTCAAGGTTGATTTTATCCTTCTGAGATCAGTGAAACAAAGACCCAGATTGTTGGGGGCACTATACTGACTGTAAACTGCTTACTGCTGTGTAAAGCACTATGAAGTGGTATAGAAGTCTTATTGCTGTTGCTCTATTTCTGATCCAAGTGCCTTTTGATGGCTCAAAGGTATCTTGACTGAACAATGGCAACGCTAATTGTGATGACAGTGGACCAGCAAGCTGAACTTCCATAATAGTGTTTGGTGAGCTTTATATCCCTTATTCTCATGGTTGCCTTCTGAGCAGATTCTCTTCTCCTATGTTGGATGCAGAGCCAAATCCACTGTTTTACTTTCCATGAAAGGAAAAGGGGTAAAAAGTAGTTGAAATATCTCTTCACTGTTAAAGTGAATGAACGGGAAAAAGTTGTGTTCAAAAAGTATCCCAGATACAGAATTTATATGTAACAGCACTACAACCTGCACTCTTCAGCATCTGGCTCCATGTTTGTGAAATATGAGTGGATTTGTCCTTTCCCCTTGTTTTGAAGGGCTGAGTAGCTGGCAAGAAAAAAAAAATACTGTAAAATTTATCACCCACTTGCAGGAGTGTGCACAAAGTAGAAAATATATTTTGTTCTCTTCCTGCAGAATAGTTAGTTGAAAGTTTAGCTGAACCTGAACATCCTGGTAGCCCCAAACTTAGGCTAATAAAAATCCAGAGGCAAATTGAATTTTCAGGGCAAGCTGGTACATGTCAGATCTGGCCAAGATGGATTATAAAATGAACTAAACTCGTGGAAAATGGCTAGGCTACCAATTTGGTCAGGTAAAAAATTATAAAGACTTTGTTTTTGAAAGGTTGGAAACCTTACATGGAGTTTATGTTGAAAAAAAACTCAACTGATGATTTCTCCATCAGATTAACAGTCAAAGAGAATAAGGAAAAGAGTTATGGCAATTCCTCAATAGAAGGGCAGAAGGCATAACTGTTTTCTTTTTTTCATTTCACTTTTTTCTTATTTTCTATCTTTTGTATATTACTGTATTGTAAAATTTTAATAAATTAACAAAATCTGGACAAGGATCAGCTATTGTTGCCTGCCTTATATATATATATACAAGGAAAACTTACACTGAGTTGAAAGGACTGAGAGCTCTTATTCCACACAATTGCTGGTAATCAGATTTATGTGCTAACATCTCCAGCACAAATATCAAGATGGGACATATGGCCCTTTTGACTTTTTGTTCTTACAGCAGCAACTGTTAGTTATCTTGTGCTGAGACACATTACTGGGCTGAAGTTGTCTGTTGAGTTTTTATGGATGAAGATAGACTAGGTTCAGTATCTTAGCCACTACACCACTGATATCAGGGCTCTACTTTTCATGATTAAACAAGCTTTAATCATGCTTCAGTTGAAAAGGAAATTGGTAAATCAAAATCACACAGAACACAAACACAAATATGCTCAGAGGAATCTACTAGATATAATCTTCAAAACTGTTTTAGAAATGGAGGTTATTCGAACCCATTCTTTTTGCAACATTTCCAGTAAAGCTGTCAAGAATAATCTACATCTATCTTGATTTTCTCTATGCCATGGAATTTATAACAAGTCCCTTCAGGGATCTTCAGTGTTGTAACTGCATATCAAGTTCTGTAATTACCTATAATAATATAGTGTCAAGTTTTAATTCAGCTTCAGTTAATGTTACTTCTGGTCGGGTTTAGATCAATTCACTGAAAATTACTGATCAGGTCAGTAGCAAAGAAAGGCTGAAAACTACGAGGTTTATTTTTCTCATTTTGTGTATCATGTTTTTATGTACACAGCACAAGTATCCATTCAACATTAAAAAAAAACAAATGTTAAATGTTGATCCTCCATAAATGATCAAACACACAGAAAAACATCTACAAAAATGTATTAAATCATATTTAATAGGAGAAAAGCAATGGCAAATCAAGTTCATACATTCTGCCTACTGTTCAAATCAGCACTGTCAAAACATGCATTTTTCAAATCTTAATTTGGAGACACATACCGTATTTTCCGGCGTATAAGACGACTTTCTAAACCATGCAAATCTCTGAAGTCGGGGGTCGTCTTATACGCCGGAAAATAAGATACATCAAAAATTGAGTTTGTGCAACCATTTTGGGAGCACTTTTCATGACGGCTATCTTGAATTTGCTGCTCTAAAAACATCAGCATTTTATAATATCTCTTTCAGATGAAACTTTCTTTTCTAGAATTAATACGCAAATCTAGGTTCTCTCCTACATTCAACATGTCTTCCAGTTGGGTTGTATTTATAAATGCTCATCATCAAACCAGTTCAGAAATGTAAATAGGTGCATATGGTAGCAGAAATTTTAATCATATTTCTCTTGGTTTCTTTTTTTAAAACATTGGCTCTTTTTTCTTCCTGTGAAAAGGAAGACAAGGCAACTAATCTATTCATTCAAGGATATCAACTAAGAAAATGTTCTCTGCATTTTTATCATCTTACCCAACAAGGACTTCAGGAAGATTTTGCACAGCATGTATAATCTATTTCTTTCAACCCCGTCTGGTAATAACCATACTGTATTCATTTTTGCTGGAAGTGGTCTTGTGAATTAAATAGCAGAATCATTGCAAATATACTTGAGGAATGAAGTATCCACAGTTCTCCAAATCTTCTTGTTATTTCCAAGTTCTATAAAATTGTACTGCCAAAATTCAACAAGCTACTTATTCTCAGTAGGGAATCAAATTAATTGCAGACATAATATGTCTACCCTCCATGACCCTCCAAAGGATTATTCAGAAAAAATTCAGTCCCTTCAGTAACTTCACTATCAGGTCTGTTGCTGAAAATTTTTAGAAATATCAATAAAAAGGAGTCTGGCTTTACACTTCACTCAAATATGATAGTAACTTGTTTAGAAGACTGCAACATACCTTGAAGATTTATAAAACTGCCATATATGCTTGCCATAGATTTCAAACAAAACCACGTTCTCTCTATTGGTTACTATTATTCAGTGCTTAGAGAACCATGTAGGTATACTGATAACTTTGGGAATATACTGAATTGTATTTTAAAACATTATTTTACTGAGAATTAAAATAATTCATTGAAACGGCATCTGGGTTTGCATAACTGAATAATGCTCTTGATTAATTCCTTGTATCAAGGGTGTTCTATTAGATAGAAAAAGATTCAACACTGTTATGAATAATAAAGTAGTATATTTGCTAGGCAAGTATAGGCATACGAATTATAGCCCTTATAATAAAGAACATCTACTATTGCACCTTTGAAAATGCACTGTTCCTTGAAAATCATTACTTATGCTTCCATTTTAAAAAGATATATTTATGCTGTGCGTCCAATACAATCTGGATAACTTGCATTTTAGTTTTACTCTCACGGTGGCAGCAGCCTTCTTTTTTACTGAAGCTCAAACAGCATCTTCTCCACAGCAATCCAGAATGTTCTTAAAATTATTTTATAGTCTCTTAATTTAAAAAAAAAAAAACCAAACAAACTAAAAGTGTTTATTTGGATTTTGGATTTGCATTCTTCCATAGTCTTGTGTGTGATAAAAATCAGGTCTCTATCTTGAGCCTTGATGCCGGAACAATTTTTATAGTCTTAGCATTGTGTTTTCCATCCACATTGTTGATAGATGTTTGTATTTTTTCTTCTAAAAGGCTGTCCTTAGATCCATTTCGCCGCTGAAGTAAACAAATATTGAACAAATTAAAATCATGTTAAACATCTTTGCACTTTAAATATTCAAGCATGATTAAAAGCCATTACTAACCTGATGAGATACTGCAGTAGTGGGACAATGAGCATCCGAGGAGCGGGTAACCAGGAGTGGAGGCACGAGATCTGCTTTGGCACTGGAAAAGAAAGCAAACTTCAAAATACACAGTGCTTATAAAATAAAAGGAAGGAGCTTGAATTTGTGTAAATCATTCGGTTGCCGATTTTTATCTATCTTTCTATATTTCAGAGATAATTGCATGGTTTTTACTTGGTTCTATTAAAAATTCTTGATGAGGAGGCCTATCTTTTAATTTGAATGTCTAGCAGAGTATGTTATTTCTGAAAATGAGGTCCATCACCCTTCAATAAGGGTGTAGATTCCCTTTCAGTCATCACAGAATGAAGAATTCAGTAACAGGTCACTCCTGGTTTCTAGATCAGAGTGGCCCCTGAATAATTTCCCAGAAAACTAAATATTCTAACAAATATTCCCAGAGCATTCTGTTGTAAGCTGCATGTCTTGTAACTGGCACTGTAATGTTTATCAAACAACCATCCATCTTTCTCGGTGATTAATATACTTACTTCACTTCTGACAGAACAGATCTCTCCCCATCAGAGCACTGGGATCGTCGATAATGGCGATAGCTTCGAGGAGAATGTGAGTGTCTAATGCGAACAGGGTCACCTTGAGTCCTAACGAAGAAATAAATTTCCAGGACCAAATTATTATTTGTTTATAAGAATTACAAAAGATGACTATAATAGAAAAAACATTTCTTCAAAGTACTACATCTATGTCCAAATTCATTTATAAATTTGTGTGTGTGTGTATGTGTGTGTGTGTGTGTGTGTACATAGCCAAGTTTCAGCACCAACACAAAAACTTCAAAAATTAAGGCATTCCTTATTACATCCTGTAGATTTTTAAAATGTTCATAGAAATAAAATTGAAAGTAAATGTCATCTTACAGAATATTCTTTCCTGTGAAAAACAAAGAAATACTTCTTGGCATTTGTTGCAATACTGATGCATATTACAGCTAGGAGTCTAAGTTGAATTAAGACTCCAGTCCTAAAACTCTCTCTTTGACCTTGTAGTTGCTCTTCAAATACTATGAGAAGGGATGCAGTGTTTGCAAACTGGCAGGCGAAAAGAATAATAATGCACATACGTTCGTCAAGGGTAGACTTTGCATTCTAGTTGCAATGCAACTTGTGTCATGATATCATGCATTTTGAATTTAGAAAAAATGCATTCAATCCTGAACAGAACTACAGAATTTCCCTATACAATAGGAAAAAAAATAATAAAATCAGAAAATGAAAATTTTCCTCCCTTTCATAATGAAGGGATCAGGACTTTGAATAAGGTAGTTCTTTCATCTTTGAATCCCCACTTAACTATTCATTGATTTTGTGCCATCAAGTCTGTGTGAATTCTTAAGGGATCACATAGATATTTTTCTCCATGACATTTAACTATAGGGCAACTCTAATAGTTAAGAGTTTGGAAATGTGAGCCACTCAATACAATTTACACTTATTCTTTCAGCCTCTTGCCACACAGAATGTCATATGAAGCTCAACGTTCAGATCAGCTGTACAGATTACTGACAAAAGAATATATAAAAAAAGCTTTGGACACTATAAAAAAGTAAGATATGTCTTTAGATTTATACCCCATCTTTCTTCTCAGCTTGAGAATGTCCAATTTATTTCCCCAATACGTATGAAAGGAATTGAGAGAGACAGATGGTGAATGTCCATTGCTAAGGATGGACTTGAATCTGAGTCTCCCTATACCTAGTCCAACAATCTCATTTCTTCCGATACCCTCTTGGGAGTTTTAAATCATTCATTCCTGCCATTATGTACAGACAGCAGACCATCAAGCAGGGCTAGGTCTGTGTTGTGCAAATATTTTCAGTTATTACAGAACTTTCAGAACAGGCACTTCCTGCCCCCTTTTTTCTGTTCCAAGTTAGGGTGGAAAAAAATTCTAGTAGTATAATTAAAGCTGCACTTTAGATGGATTTGGGCAGTTAACCTTTTCAATCCCCACTAATTTATTTTCATTCTTCTTTCCACATAGTCACAGGAAGACGAAGACCAATTCCATTGACAGGGAATGCCTAGACGAGACTCCCATTTTTGCAGGGCCTCCTTGATAAGGTGAGGAGTAACCAATTCCATAATTGGCAGAGTGAACAGAGGAGTTAGTTAAATTTGCAAGGCTGGGTCTACTTAGAGCTAGAGGGTCTACTTAGAGCTAGATCGATTTAGAGCTAGATCTTGGATTTAGCTAACTGGGCCTATTACGGTAACTCTTTTTCCAATTTGTACAACTTGGACTTCCTTGACCCAGTTTACTATAGGAAGCAAGTCTCTACAAAATGGCAGGTTGAGATACTGGGGAAAAAACATCCTAACAATTATTTTTAAAAAAATAATAATAAGGAAAATGGTGATGTATCTCTGCAAGTCACCTAGAATCAATGAGGCTATATAAATATTCATTCATTCACTCACTCACTCATAAATTATTCTGTCACCATCCTTTTAACATTGGCTAAAGTGCAATATTATTCTCTCTCTTAAAGTTAGAATTTTATACATGCAGCTCTATTTCTAATATTATAACATAAACTATTAGGATAAAGGTTTAAATGTTTCTTTTCATAAGACCTTTGATCCAATACTTGTACCCAAGGAAACTGAGTAAACTGTGTAAGCTCTGAAGGCTTAATTTCTCACAAAAATATGTTTCTGACAGAGAGAACACACTGGTAGATTTTATCCTGACATTTTGGTCATGATTTATTATTATTATTATTATTCAGAACCCACTGAGAAACCTTTATAATTTATCCCAGCCTTAAAAGTTGCTTGTTGTTCACACATTTCCAATAATATTATCTTGAGATTAAAGTCTTACAAACGACATGTGCCTGCATGCACACCGAAAGATAAATATGCTGAAGGAAATGTTTCATGTCTAGCTTTCATGCCTGTACCACTATTCTTAATTCCTACTCAGTGGTGAGTCAGAATCACATTATGATGCAAAACATGATTCAGCTCCTGTCAGAAGCACTTGTTCACATCACCACATGGAAATCCCAGATGGCCAATTATTGGAATGAAACTGGAGCTTGATCTGAAAGGACCAGCTGTGCTTTGGCAATTAGTGATACTATGCTGAGGAAAGAAGGTCAAGGAAGTCAAAGAGTCAGTTGGGATGATCAGAAGAAGAGTACATTTTTAAAACTTTAAAATGGAAGATAGCTTGAAAGTCTCCCCCCAAGTCTCCATGAATGAAAACTCTCTATTAATTAACAGGATATATAACAAAATCACAGGAATGTAGAGATACCACTTAAAGCCAAATTTGATGCAATCGTACCTAAATCCATTATCTGCCGCAGGCATACCGAAAACAGAGGCGACTAAAGTTGATGTGAATAACTCAAGTAAAGATTTGGAGTTTCCCCCACGTTTAGATTTATCATGCAATTTACTGCCGAAGGTACTTGTTGCTAACGAATGCCCTCTGGATGCATCGACTTCAAGTCTCAAAATACTTAGCAATGACCAAGTTCCTAAATAAAAGACGATTTTCTCCAAACAAAACCCATTTCTATGCCTGATGCTGACAGGAATCTCTTTGACAGGCTTTCTCAACTTCATGCCATTCAAAATATTGGACTACAATTCCCATATCATAGCCAACCTCAGCTAAGTTATAGGTAAAGAGGGATTTCTGCAATATCATATTTCAGAACTTTTCCCACACAAGTGAAACTCAAACAAATATAAACTAAGTAATTGTTTCACTTTTATTGGATGTAATATATATATTAGGAGCTTAGTAATTTATTTATTTCTGGGAGGTTACAAACATTAGATCTATGCCTTTTAATATGATATTTGCTGTCTTATTTAATGTTGTATAATCAGCCTCAAACTATGTCCTCATATAGATTTGTATAGGGACAACAATATATTACATCACAACTCCTGTCCAATAAATAAACTCACTCTATTTTAGTATATGGAATCTCTCTTAGTTGTTCCTCGGATAGGCCAGATGGATCCACGAGTTCTTTTCTGGAAAAGAAAAGTTTAAAAGTTAAACAAATCACTTGCATAAAAAATATTATTTAATAGTAGATATCCATGCTTGCAGAAATACTTACTGAATGTGTTTCCACAATTCTTCCTTTGCTTGAACATCTGGACTTCTCCTATATGCATTCAAATATATATATACATATATATTTATTATCAGTATACATAATAAACAAATACAAAATTTTAAAATTATGACAGCCAAGAACAATGATTTACTAATAAATACTTAAGCACAGGAATAATTTTTGAATTTTGTATGTGGAAATGGCATCTTATGAATAGAAAAGCCCTGAGGTGAATCACTATTTGTCTTCCTCCAAAATTCACAAGATGTGTTGACTAAACTTCTAATTAAAAATAATTATTTAAGGTGTCTCCTACCTCTCAAAGCTCTGGGAAAGTTAAAAGTGGAAACAACTAATGGTACAATCAAGGTTGACACTATTTTCTAGTTAAGTAAACTTGTTTCTGAAAAAATGCCATATTAATAGCTTAGTATCTCTTTCATAGAAAAATTACTTGATTTCAAAGCAACCAAGCTAATTATGAATACCAGTAGTCCTTGATTTACAATCACAAATGGAACCAGAATCTTCGTCATTCACTAAGTGAGTAATCAGTAAGTGAAACATCCATGTGACTGCTTTGCCTAATAACCACAATCCCAGCTCTCTCAGTTGCGGTTGTTAACTGATTGTGTTGCTGTTAAGTAGAGTCCCGGGAGAGGGCCTTCTCCCTGCCCAACTATGCCCAGGTCCACTGCCTTTTTCTGCAGCTGTAGGTACACCCACCCAATTCAAGGTACAGCCGTCCTTCCAAGGTCACCTTGCACTATCTTGCAAGTGGGCTCCATTCTCACAATTGTAGGAAGGCTCCTTCTGCAAACTGCAGTTTGGAGAAGGGACCTTCCAAACTATTGTGAGAGTGATTGTATTAGCTAGACTTCCTAGTCTAGGAAGGCTAGAAAGGTAGCAAACACCATTGTTCTGAATTATGGCATTCACTAGCTTTCTAGCCCTTGAAAGCTAACAAATCTTCAGAATTTGAGGTTTGTTCTTGCATCGCGCTGAGCAATGTTGTGTGGGGAGGAGAAATCCCTTGGGGTGCTGCTTGAATGGACCTAAAATACTCCATCCCTGCAACCTGCAGCTTCCCTGCTGGCTTTCCCATTGGCTTTCTGGAGAAGCCAGCACAGAAGATTGCAAATGGTAATCACAAACAGCCATTAAATGACTGGCTGTTAAGTGATGGACTAACTGTAATGAAAGGTGCATTAAAGAACTACAAGTCTTATAGTCTCATAGAAGTATTTATATTAGGCAAAATATTTCAAAATCAAGAGGAAAAAGAGATAAAGCTTTTGTGTGTATGATCTTAGACTCTTACTTAGGTGAGATGGGCAGGGTAGAAATTTGCTAAATAAATAAATAATCTCCACATTTTTCTTTCTTCTTCCCTTATTTTTCTGATGTTCACCTTGCTGGATGAAACAGTTCCTGAAAACTTGAAAATACAGGTAGTCCTCGACTTATAACAGTTCATTTAGTGACTGTTCAAAGTTACAACGGCACTGAAAAAAGTGACACAGGACCACTTTTCACAGTTACAACCTTTGTAGCATTCCCATGATTATGTGATCAGAATTCAGATGCCTGGCAACTGCTTCATACTTGGGACGGTTGCAGCGTCCCAAGGTCATGTGATCACCTCTTGCAACTTTTGGACAAGCCAAGTCAATGGGGAAGACAGATTCAGTTAACAACTGGGTTACTAACTTATCAACAGCAGTGATTCACTTAACAACTATGGGAAGAAAGGTTGTAAAATGGGGCAAAACTCACTTAACAAATGTTGTACTTATCAACAGAAATTTTGGGCTCAATTGTGGTCGTAGGTTGAGGACTATCTGTATCATCTGAACTTTCACTTGACCTAATAAAGGTAGTAGATCCCTGGTAAGAGAACTAACTGCAGCCCAAATTTTCTTCCCGGGCAAAGAGATATTCTTCATTGTTTTGCATTTTTTTTTCAACCTTGGTCCCCTCACCCCAATCTTTGTACATTCCCTTTTATGTCCTCTGTACTCCTGTCTGCCTAAGGGGTGTGGAGGAGGGAAAGGAGGGCTTAACAGAATTTCTCAACATTTAATGCTAAACTTCTTCCTTTTTTCACTGAGACTCATTCATGCAAAGCAGCAGCTGTGAACTCTGCCCTCATCTGAAGGGATCAGCATCTCTTCTGTACCTGTAATATAACTAGGAACCAAGTACAAACAATCTATACTGAAAGAAAGCTTTAGTGAATTGCCTACATCCACCATTACCCATCCAAAACAAAACCCTCAGACCTCAGTGTAGTCATAAACTGCATCCTTGGGCTATGAACAACACCCCCCCCAACACAGGATTTTTTAGACCTCTTTGCTGAAGAACCATGGGGGGGGGGAGAGTCACAAGCAAATAATGGATAAAAGATACTGATTTATAATAAACTGTGTAGCCTTATTTATGCATCTCTGAATAAGTAGCTTAATTAGGTCACATATAGATCCAATACAACACAGAGAAAATAAATGTTACGTATGTCATCCTCATATTAGTGACAACAGCAAAATTCAATAGCATCTTTATTATTATTGTTGCAAACCATGTAGAAAACGTACTTATGAGTGCTATATAAACAGTTAAAAGTCAGTTTGTGAGGGCTGGATACACTCCACCCATCCTTGCATGACTAAAAGGAACAAATTGGCTATTTAAGGGGAGAAACACAAAACCTTATGTTTTTGCTTTGGAACAACTGGGTTTCATTGTAAAACAAAACAACAATTCCAGGAAATATATCCTTTAGTGACTATAGAGAAGGCTTCAGTGACCCATATAAAAAATGATATATTTTCAAAGATTTTAAGAAAAATAAAAATCTAATTATTTTATAGTCCCTAGTGACCTGAGTCTTTTGATAAGCCAAAATGAGTGATAACCATTTGAATTAACAACAACTTTCCATTTTAGGTGAAAATGTTATGCCACTGTAGGTATAGCCATACCGTAGTTTTCTCTATGCTAGCCGAAAAACAGCTGTATGTTATTCTGTATAATACAATTGCTACATCAGGAATTCAAGCTTTGCTGGGGTGGAGGAGAGGGACAATATTTTAGCAGGCAGAAATACAGAATGGCTAATACAGAATGTTGATTTGACAACATTGGAGAGGTATCTGATACACCAAAACATCCATTAAATTGCAAACTGTATAATTTTGCAGCAATTCATTTCATTTTCATAATGATGCAAATAATGTAATTTGCATAAGGGTATCACACATTTATACAAATTATGCCTTCTTCATAGAGTATCATCATGCAAATAATGAAACAAACTCCATGAATTAAAAACAAATGTAATTGGTTGGTGCAGACTACTTCAGATGCAACGGACTTTGTTATTTCAGGAGGATGTCCAGACAGAAATTTATATCCCAAGTCTGCTAAATGGAAGCCTATGAAATCAAGATTTTACTGTATTTAGCTAATGGGCTCAATACAACCTTGTTCTTCAGAACATTTGAATAGGTGAAATTCATTTCATGGGGTTAAAGAGAAAATCTTGTTATTCTATTTTTAACAACATATTTAATTTTTCCTAGCTCCCAAAACAAGTTTGTGCATCCGGTCATTATACCTAATCAAATGCAATATAAATCAATTAACATCCCACTAGATATTATTTTGAATATTTAACTATAGGATTTGTATGTCTGTTAAGTCTAAAAATCCTTTGGCAATACAGATGACCTGTACAGCAATAGAAAATGGAGGGGTTTTATATGTTTGCTTTTTTTTTCTTAAAAACATCACTTAATACTTTTCTCCTGTATTCAACCCTCTCAAACAGGGCAATTGTTTTTTTTTTATTAGACCAAACTATTCTTTCATTGTAGCATTTAATTTTCTTGTTATTCTTTTCCTTAAGGTTTATTGCAATATTGCAAAATAACTACATCTGGTTTTTAAAAGATTCAAATTGACCACAAGAGGGAGTCTCTCCTATTGTATTTAACTAATAAGTAAAAATTATATTAAATAAGCGTAACTTTTCTCATTTTAGATGTCCAAAAAGTTTAGCATTCAACATACGATCGTGATCTGTGCCTGGAACGCCGATTGATGGGTTCAGATTGGTTTTTTTCTTTTTGTCGCCTCAGCACTGCTTCCCACTGAGGAGCTGAATCAACCATGTCATTCTCTTGTCGTAACCTTTACAAAAATTAACATAATGATAACAATTAGAAATTATGAGAGTTGTAGTTCAACAGATGTGAAAAGTGCCAGATTGGGAAGATAATCTTAATATTCTGAAAATTTAATTCTGAGCACAGACAATGTCACAAGATGACTGATTCTAGTAGCTAGAGGTTTAAGAAAAATAAATGTACTACTCTAAGGAACTAGCCAGTACATTTAATTATATTTATTTACAAAACAAATATCTGCTTCAGTCACAGACTCAAAGTGGCTTACAACCAGTGCAATAAAATAATCCCAGTAGAATAGCAACCAATACCTATCAAACCAGAAACCAGTTATTCATTTTTTTAAAAGGTAACAATAAAAACTAACCAAAAGGATCTGCAGAATGGCAGTGTTTTAACTGCTGCTTCTGTTTTTGAATGAATAGAAAAGAAGAGAAAAATCCAAACACAAAACCCAACAAAACCCAACATACAATTTCATGTTGTGACAAACGTAAACCCAATTCCATCTTAGTAGTCAGGCATATCCACTTGAAATCTATATTTTTCAGACTGATTTTTCAAATGATCCAACATTTCCTTGATGAAAACCATTGATGAAATCAATTCATAGACACTTGGTTGGGTCGTGTAAGATACTGAT